CTCTATATTTGTACACTGTCTAAAGCAACGGCCTCTTTCTGCCCCTGAGACTCTTATAATAGCAAATTAACTCCATTACTAAAAAAAAAATAGGAAAAAAGAAAAGAAAATGCCAGTCTTCCTTTAATGTTTGTAAAGTATATGGCAAACATTAGGAATAGTTTCAAAACATTTGTTTTTATCTTCAGGTGTGGAAATACTGTTAATTTGTGTTAGTTCCATTCATGCAGGGAATATCTATATATGTAAAGTACCTAAGAAAAATTATGTGGCTTTGTTACAGAAGGGCATATTCAACAAAATGAATCCTTTCATTTTCTGCATCACTTCCTAAAGGTTGGAAAAATTGCTGTAATATAAGCTGCATCTTCACTGTGATGTGACTGTTACTATAGAAAGCAATATTAACCTGAAGAACTTAATGACTTACTTCAGAAGAGTCCATTAACAATTTAAACAATGTTTTCATCTCTTCTTGACTGTGAAGGACTGCATTATTTAAAATTCTACAGGAAAGCAATATATAAACAAAATTGGTATCTGTTCTTCAAGACCTTCTTCCTCCTTTACTGAAACTGAATGAAAGCAAACAATTTTTTTTCAGTTTTAGATTTGGCAAAGCTTTCACATTGGATGAAGCTACTTATCTGGTCTTATATTTATTACACATGATAAAGAAAAAATATTAAATTGTAACTGTTTCTTGTGTATTTTCTTTGTGCTTGTTAAAGATGTTGCATTTTCAAATACTGCCATATATAATAAACAGAAATTTCTTCCTAAACTAGGTAATATTTTACATGAAAACTTAGGTAAACCTGCCTTGTTTTGAATCGCTAGTTGAAACTAGAATCTGTTAAAGTTCCTTGAACCAAATTTACTATGCAAGAAGTGGGCATTACTGCCTCCATACAGTGAAGTCAGTGATATTGATCTTGGTGTCTAAGCCTAGCAGGAAAAAGACTTTAGAAGAAAAATTCCAGTGAATGACAGAGAGTATTATCACAACAGACGATTCTCCTCATAAACACCTGCAGTTGTTTTCTCCTCTAATGCCTGAAATTCCCTATTTACACATTTTTAAGATGTGCCTTATTGATATATCTAGAGCCTGTCATCCCAGGTATGCCACCATGCCCCTGTGCACAAGCTCTGCCAAGCTGATGCTGGTCTGTGTAGGGCCAGATCAGTGTTTCAGCATTAAGTAAAGCAACATGGAAGTTGCTTTAACTACCATGAGGAGAACAGCAAAGATAAAACAAAGAACTCACACCAGTAGGCATTTTGGCTTGGATTATTCTGCAGCTTGATACAGTTTGTCAACCCCACAGGAGAATGCTGTTTTGGCAAGAGCATGCTCTAGATGCTCTCAGAGCTGCCAAAGGGAGGAGGTGGCAGCTACCCTGAGACACAGCAAGATAATATTGGCTGAGCCAAGAGGTAATGATAAGAGCCCAAGGCTCATTAGCCAGGGCAGAGCCCTGAACCAAGTAATTATCACCATGTGACAAAAAAAGATAAAAAGCATCATTTTTACCTTACTTATCTTAAAAGTACCAGGGCTGGCCAACCAGCTGGGGAAAAAAAAAAAACCAGAATCTGAAGCTCACACTCACTCATCTTAGTATGCAGTGGTATACCTCTGTGGCTAAAGGTTGCAGGCCTGGTCATGAAGCTAAAATGACTCCTTGGTTCTGAAGCATCTTTCTTCTGCCATTCTTTAATATAATTTCTAGTTCAAATTGTGTCTGAAATAAATGGCTTATATGAGAAAGAGTTTGCAGTTTCTATATTATTAATGTGGTACTATGCAGACACCCAGAAATGAGAATGGCTACTTTTTTTTTTTTTTTAAAGTCACGTCCTACTGCACACAAACCAACCTAATTACCTACCAAGTAATTTTTCAACTGTTATTTAATTTTTAAATTTTGAAGTTATTTTGACAAGAAATCTTTCCTAGCCATACCTTGCAGGGGGATGGATTGTAGGAGACTAGAGATAGCGCTGAAGGCAATCTTACCCCTGAGGAATTGCACCTGTGCTAATTACCAAAGAGTAGGAACAGCCTTGCCTTTAATTGGTCACAGCTGTGTCCAGTAAGGATGATGCAATAAGGATGGGTGTTATAAAAGAGTGGAGTAGCTGGTCGAGAGGAGAGTTGGAGTCAGTTGGTTGTGCTGCTGGGAGGGGAAAGGGTTGGGGGGCTGTGGTGCTAGGGACAGTAAGGGATAGTGTGTGTTACTAGGGACAGAAAGGGTCAGGTGGCTGTGGCAGGGACAGGAAGGAGTCAGCCAGCTGTGTGGAAGAAAGAAAAGAAGTCAGTGTTGTGAGGAGCTGTCTGTGAGAGAAGGTATGACATTCTTACAGTAAGAGAATAAACTGTGACAGTCCTTTCCCATCCACGTTGATTGGTGCCAAGCGCCAACAATTGGTGGCCCATATGGGGATGGATCCTGACGTACCTGAATGCCCTTAATTGATCTTGGCTAGAGAAAGAATATATTTAAACACAAGACAATCTCATTTCACATAAAAATCAGTTCTATTTTTATTGTGTTATTGTTCAGGTTGAATAGCACTTTAGAGCCTGTGAAACATTTTCCTGCATTTACTTAGAGAAAACGCTATCAGTTTGCATTAAAATCAAATATTGTGTCTTTCATTTTGTTACACTTTTGGAAAGTCTGAAGTGGAATTTTCTGCAAGATGCTAAGATTACCTGTACTTTTCATCAAGGCTCAAGTCTGGAAGTAAAAATCTTGTTCATTTTTGGTTGCATTTTCCTAGACTCATGTTTTACCACTGTGTGTTGTGCAATAATATACCAGTCAAACAACATAGAACAGTATTTTCAAATGTTAAAATTTAAATAGGAAGCCAAGAGAAATTGTGAGAAGTGTACAATCCATAAAATTGTCTTCACAATGAGTAGAGATAGAAACACTACCAAATCAAACTGCAGTGTATTCCACTAGTCAAGGCATTTTGAAAATGCCTGCTGTATTGCTGAGCAAATTGATTCCCTTTCTAATGGCCAAATACAACATTTCACACTCTTATTCAATACAACCTAGTGCCATATTAGCTATCCTGATAACAGGGTGGTTAACAAACTAGGGATAAAATAAATGATTAAAACTAAAACCATTGAGGATTGTTAGCTAAATTTTAGTTTTGCTAGATCAGCTTTACAAAACCTCACAAAAATATTTGTGTACTATTGTTGTTGGAATTCTTCTCAAAATGACAAGTGTATCATATATATATATGTTTTTGCCACGCTCTTTTCTCTGAAGTGACCCATACCATATCTCAAGTGTGTGCCTTGCTGTGGTCCTGCAGTACTGACTCCATTGATGCTACATGCACGGTATCTTGCACTTTAACACTGCCTCCAACTGCTCCAGATAGGAAAAACAATTATACAAATTTCCCACAATGCAAAAAGTGACATGTTTTCCAGAGGTAGTGAAAAAGGCCCTAGAGTCTATATCACAGTTTGAAAATGCAGCGGCTTGCTAGTTTTCAGTATTCTTTTGCAGTTTGGTTTGACAGTAGTGTAAATTATTGTGAAATGATCTGCCCTCTTCAGGTGTCTGTGGACATGAAAAATATGCTTATATACATCAGAAATGTAGGTTGAATGAGAATCACTTCAAGGATAGGAAAAAAATTATTTTCAGCATTGTGATTTATGTGCTGTAGCTGAGCACTGGAACATGCCTTTGGAAATGGTGGGGTTTAGCAAAATGCTTGATTAGACCTTTTAACAATATAATTTAAAAAATAAATTCTGCTCACTGTGAAAGAGAGGAAATGTTTATCATACTAACATTTTAAACGGTGGTGGCCTTCGAACTTGACAAATTCTGTGATTCTTAAAAAAACCCCAACCAACCAAAAAATGAAAATCAAAATAAAAAAAAAAAAAAAAAACAAAAAAAACCCCCACAAACAAACCCAAAAAACCCCCACACCAAACAGGTGATCTGTCTCGGCTATAGGTCTCTTTGTTCTTTTACGTAATGATCCAAAGGAGGAAATGGGATATATTTATTATATTTGTAGAGGACACAAACCAAGACGGGACTGAGCTCTTGCCCAACCATTTTGCGGGCCGAGAGGAGAATTCAGAAAGCACCGACGAGCCGAAGGAGCACTGCAGACAGCGGTGGAACGAGCATAGTGAGGAATTCGCCCGGAGGAGTTTGCAATGCGTGCGGTGATCCCGTGGTCGCGCTTTCTTTAGAGACAGCAGCAGCTATCTGCTTTCCGTGCCGCTGCTCGGGAGGCCGCGGGGCGCATCCCGCGGCTCCTCTCGGGCCACGCCCTCAGCCCCGCCAAGCCGCCCGGGGCAGCCGGGCCCGCCCAGCCCAGCGCCGGGGGCGGGCCGAGGCGCGGCGGCGCGGCGCCATCTCAGCGTGCCCGGCCATGGGAGGTGCTGCTGGGCGCTGGGCGCTGCGCGCCGCCCGCCTCCTGCCCGGCGGCGGCAGGGCTCCGGCGGCGCGGCGGGGCGGCCCGGGCTGCGCGCCCGCCGCTTGCGCCGCTCCGTCCGCCGGCTCCGCGGTGAGTGCGGCGGGAGCCGCGCCGTGCGTCGCGGCTGCCGGGGCGGGAGCGGAACCGGAACGGGGCGGGCGAGGGCCGGGCCGGGCTGTCCCTGTGCTTGCGGGGGTGCCGTAGGGGCGGCAGGCGGGACGGTCTGGCCGTGCGCGGGTGCCCTGACCGGCCGTGTCGTGCTGCAGCCGGTTCAGCAGCAGCGTCCCTGCGGGAGGGGACGCGGTCGCGACCGGGAGAACAAGATGGATGAGCTCTGCCCGCTTTTTACCCGGACTGCCGTGAACTCCGTGGGGGCACTGCGCGGCGCCCAGCGCCCGTGGCGGTACCACTGTGCCAGCCGGGAGCTGGTGGGACTCTGCCTGCGGGGATGCTCGGCTCGGCTGCTCCGTCCGTCCAGCCGCGGGGGCCCCGCGTGTGGCTCCGCTGCGGCGGGAGCAGCGGAGCGGGGCGCCTGCAGCGCCCGCACGCGTGCGGGGTCCGTGGCGTGGCTCAGGGCAGGGACAGCGCTCGGGCAGCGCCTGTCCGGCACCGCCGCCCTCAGCACCTCGCCTTCCTCCTGCTCCTTCGCTGCTGCTGCTCTTGTTGTGCCTGAAACAGCTGCACCGAAAGGACCGCCAAGTCTAGTCTGTTTCATAAAGCTTCCGATTTTTAAGCAGTGTTTTGGTTTATTTCAACGCACTTTTTTTCCCTTTGGCCGTTAAGATCAATCATGTTTAAGTGTTTGTCAAAAAAAACATGTTACTGGTGTTATTCTAAGTTGGCCCAGTCCTTGCCTGCCGGTGAAGCAGCTTCCCTTTGGGAGAGCACCTGTGCAGAATGTTTTTTTAGACAAGTGGTGAAAATTTCTCAGTGTGCATGTAGGTTCCCTCCTGTCCCCTTTCTCTGCGAGAACGGCGGGTTGGTGCACATGCATTCACTTGCTTTTTGGTTTTTGTTAGTCCTCAAGCTCTGGGGATGAGGCTCTGAGGGACAAACGTGCTCGGATCCTGTCACGAGGGCTGCCAAAGCAGAAGCCCATAGAAGGAGTTAAGCAGGTGGTGGTTGTGGCTTCTGGAAAAGGGGGAGTTGGGAAATCGACAACAGCAGGTAAGATTTATTTTGTTTTTAATCATTTCCTTTGCACATTTTCTAGTATTTTGTATGGAGTATTTAGGTGCTTGTGTCATTACCTTGTGGTTGGGTTCCATAACATTTCACCTCTGACAAGTCCTGTTGCAGCCATTGACAATATACTTCGATACAGAAATCTTGGCTTTAATTTAGGTGTGAATTTAGCTTTGAGATCCTATCTTTGTAATAGTGCAGTGCTGTCCTGAGACATTGGGGCATCTTAAGAGGTGATGCAGGCTGAGGCGAAAGTGCTAGTGCAGTGACACTGTTCCTCCTTCCCTGGCTGCTTAGGTGTGCCTATACAGTGCTTTTCTCTGTAGAGGATACTAGTATTTAGAAAGTTTCCACATCAGGACTCTGTTCAATTTTCTCAACTACTTATGTAAGGGTTTTATAAAGAAAAAGTGGAACAGTGCTTATAAACCACAGAAATTGGTGCCTTGAGAAGCACCTTGAACTCTTCTCTCAACTCCGCCATTAGATTTTAAATTAATTTTTCTCTAATTTTTTTCTCTACCACCTTTTCTTAGGTGGTAGAATAAAGGCAGTACATGGGTTACCAGTACTGCAGACATTGACTTGAACTTAAACAGATGATGGAATGGAAAAATAGTTGTGCCAAAAAATGTAGTGGCCTTCTTACAGAGAGGAGTGACTGGTGTCATCAGCCTGGACTTCTGCAAAACATTTGGCACTATCCTACATGACATCCTTGTCTCTGAACTGGAGAGACTGGGGAGCATTAGGAACTGGGTGGATGGCTGCATTGCATTCAGGTCTAGGTCCCCGAGCATAAGAAGGACCTGTGAGAGTGTGTCCAGCAAGTACCACAAAGATGATCAGAGGGCTGGAGCACCTCTGCTGTGAAGACAGGCTGAGAGAGTTGGGGTTGTTTAGCTTGGAGAAGAGAAGGCTTTGAGAAGACTCTTGGAGAGCCTTCCAGTAATTAAAGGGGGCTTACAGAAAGGAAGGAGTGTGGCTTTTTATGTGGGCAGATCAACGAGAGTGAATAGCTCTAAACCAGAAGTGGAGAGATGTAGATTACTGCTAGGAAGAAATTCTATACTGTGATGGTGGTGAAGCACTGGAACACATTGCCTAGACAAGGGGTGGTTGTCCCATCCCTGCAAGTATTCAAGGGTTAGATGGGATTTTGCACAACATTGTCTGATGGAAGGTGTCCCTGTCCATGGCAGGCGTTTGGAGCTGGGACATCCTTAGGGTCCCTTCCTGCCCAAACCATCCTAGGATACTATGACTCTGAAAGTAAACTTCTTGGAACATATTTCTCTAAAGTATTAGAAATATGTTTAAAGATCTTTCTTAATATGCAGGCTGGAGAATAGTCATCCTTTAGTTGAAGCATGTCTGCTGTTCATCTCCATGTGTTGTAAATAACACATGGATGTAGCTCTTAATATATAATTTTGGGGGTTTGTATTTTTTCAGCCATGCTTGAAACAGACTAAGTGTCTAATAATTTCTAGAATAAAGTAATGTGATATCTGTACTAAAAGTAGCTGTTCTTAAAAAAAAGGGTCTTTTTTTTCTTTTTCTCTATTGTCTATCCTATATGTAGGATACACATACCTGTACAAAGACATGCAAAACAATTAAAACTTGTGTTTCTTAACCATCAGAAGATATATCATTATGATACATAGCCTGGTTGTTGCAGGTTACTAAAAATACCAAATACCTGTTAATCAATTGGCAGTTTACAAAATTAACATTTTGAAAAGTAAATTCAGATTATTCTGCTCATATCTGCAAACAAATATCTAAGTTCTTGTAACTGGCATGTGTGTGCAGTTTCTACATAAAATATAACACATGCATGAATAATACTTAGAGCTGTGAGTTCATTCCTATGTATTTAAAAATAAAAAATCAGGATTCAACAAGCATTAAATAAGATATTGGAAATGTAAATTAAGCATTTACATGTATCTATAATGGACAGCCTTTTTAAATGAACGCTTTAATTTCTAATATTGAGAAGGAAAACTGTATTCTTATGTATTACAATGAGGATCAATTTCATGGTTCAGATGGACAATTGAATTTCAGTTAAGTTGTATAAACAAAAGTATTGCATGGCATCATTACTGAATTATGTATTTAAAGTTATGTTCTTACTCAAGGTTTGTGTGGAACATGTTTGATGGCAATTCTGCTGATGCGTTTTGAGAGCAGGAGTTGAAAAGAAAGGAGACTAGTAAGCACCTCTAATTCCTAAAGCACCACAGGAAATATCATCAGTCTTGTGTGTATGTCAGAAGACCTGTCAGGGCTTTTTTTGTTTTTTGCTTTCTCCAGTATAGTTGTGTTTCAGTTGCTTTCAGGAAAAGAGCATCTATATTCTGGTCAAGTTTGTCAGGGTCATTCCCTAACCTGTTGAATAACTCATTCTGTTTATTACATATGGCTTTCATGTTGTAGTCTCGTTGCTTCCAGTGCTTTTTGGTCTCCTGAAATCAGTGTAGTCACTGATTAGAAGAAATTATGTTACCAGAACAATATTTTTCAATGCATATTTAAATAATTTAATTGTCCTTTCTTTCTATTTGTCTGATGTGTTGTTTTATTTGTTTGTTGTGTTCTCTGTCACTTTCGTGTCAAGTTTCTGTCTTTTAATGGCATTTTCCTATATTTACTGCGTCTGACCTACATCTGGGTTTTTTTTGTTTTTTGTGTTTCTTTGTTTGTTTCTTAGTTGTTGCTCATCTGTTCCCTTTTGCACTACTCTAAGGATGACAGTACTGAAGAAAATTGGTCCTGGCATGAAAAGAAGTCAAAGAGTGGTCTTGAAAGAAGGGAAAATTTTAATTTAGTGCAAATCTTAATGTTTTCAGTTGTGGAAGTAGAACAAAACTAAAGGCTGGTGTTCCTGCTCACATTCTGCTAATTCTGATATTTGAGGAAAATACAAAAACTGAGTACATGGACCTTCAGACATTTTTAACACACTAAGAGGCTGAGAATTTTCATTATTGTTCAGGGAAGCTGATACATTTGATCTTGTGTTGACTACATCTCGGTCATGTTAACTGCATTTTAACTTTTTTTCCCTCTTGTGTACTTTATTCTGGATGTAGGATGTACTGTATTTAAACTTTTTGATTTTTGGGCCTCCTTTGTATGTTAAAATATTCTCATAAACTCGGTTTCTAAATGGCACTTACATCGATACGTAGGTATCGAAAGTATCTTTCCAAAGTTCTTCTAAATTGTATATAGGTATTTTATTGATGATGTTATAAGTATTTTATTGATGATGTTATCTGATATTAACCATATCAGATACAGACACACAACTGGCTCTGTGCTTGTCTGCTTCTGGATCAAGAAGTTGTATTTCTGTTGTTAGCTGAGTGTTTGGGGAGTTCAACTGTGCTATTCCTAGGGCCACTTCAGATTTAGAAATTAGAAAGTTGGATGTTACAATAATAGTAATAATAATAAACCTTCCCAGTCTTGTACTAATTTCAAAACAACAGAGTCCTTCTAGAGTTACAGAATTACAGAATATGCTGAGTTGGAAGGGATCCACAAGGATCATCAAGTCCCAACTCCTGGCCCTGCACAGGAACATCCCCAAGTGTTACACCCTGTGCCTGGGAGTGTTGTCCAAATTCTTCTTGAACTCTGTCAGGATGGTGCTGTGACCACTTCTCTGGGGATCCTGCCCCAGTGCCCAAACACCCTCTGAGTGAAGAACCTTTTCCTAATATCCAGCCTTTCTCCTGACTCGGCTTCATGCCATTGAAGCTGTGTCAGGGGAGGTTTAGTTTAGATGAGACTAGCTAGAGGTTTAGGTTGTATTAGATGAACTCTGATCTCCCTGTGCATCATTCCTTGTACTGATTGGCAGGCTTAGCATGGGTGGAGAGATATTAGTGGCTTTTCTTGGAGCCTGCTGTGAAGTTGTATAGAATTTCTGGTGTGTATTGCCTTGATGTCCTGCACACCTGGTTATGGGAACTTAATTAGGGCCAGTATGAATGTTCAGGCTTGGTTTAGGCCCTATTCTCCATGTTTATACCCTCTTGGAACTGACAGTAATACAAAAATAAGGGAATGCAAGATTCAGCTGGAATTTGAAATGAAGTGTTCAGATAGATATCCATCTCAAAATCTTAGGTTTACATGCTGTGTTGTTCCTGCCATCTCCCTTCTTTCCCTTCAGTAGTCAAATATCCTTTATTGAAGAAGCATTATGGATCATACTTTAATTTTCACACATGAAAGCTGTTTAAGAAGATAGCTGTGTATAGTGATTTCAAGAAAGTCTTTGTCTCCCTTCTTCAGGTTTCAGAGGGTGAATTTTCCTCTGATTTGGGGAATGGTTGATTTACCATCAAATTGACCATTAAATGTCAAATTGAAGAACAAAATCCATGTTCTTAGCTTAGGAGGAAAGAGGCTGTGTGCCTCTTCGAGAAAGCTGTACAGCTGTCCATGTTAACCCATGACTATTTTGTTTGAAGGAACTTAGTGTTAACTAACTTGGTGTTAAGTATTTCAAGACAGGATTCTGGCTCCCCAGCGGTTTCTCAGAACTTTTGTACTCTTCCTGTACAAAAAGGCTGATTGCAATTGCCTTTCTTAAAAGAGTGACATACAGCAGCATGTAAGGAAAACAGAAGGTGTTACCCAAGAAAGGGTTGTGTGTGTTGGATTTTTTGCCATGTTTTCTTTTTTTTCTTCTAAGACATGTAACTTTTTGGATTATAAAAATTACTTGTTTATACCAAAACCTCTAGGAGGTCTCCCAACATAACTGAAGTTGGTGAGCCATTAAAGATACCATTTGCACATGCTGTTTAGTTATGAGACTTAAGTAATGATGGAAATGTAAAAGCTTTAAATGAATGGTCTTTTTAGTTGCTTCATCTTTCTTTTTTTTTTTACAGGTGCTTTCAGGTAGATGTGGCTTTGTTTTCTGACATAAAAATCAATTGGAAAGCATGCATTACACCTTCTTCCAGAAAACATCTCTATTCAATATATCAGAAAAAGGGATATGATCATCTTTTTGGTCACTTGTTTTAATAGTTTATGTCAGCGCTTACCTAATTTCTAGTTTTATGAAGGTTCACTAGAGTGTGTGGTGAGGGTTACTGATGGTAGTAATTTAGTTTTATAGTATGGTGTCCACTTTCAAAAGTGGGTGCTTCCAAAAGTTTTTTGTAATGTTATTCTTTGGCAAAATACTGAGACTATTATTATTTTGCAGTGTCCTCTAGAAACTGCAAGTCTGCAAGTTTTTGCAGATTACCTTGAGTTTGTTTGCTGGTCAACAAACATGGACTGAAGTGTAGGTGCTGCTGTTGCTTAAACTGCAAATATTGTAGAGATGCAAGAAGCTGAGAGCTGAGAGATTATGTAATTATTAATAAATGTGATGTATTTATATTTTCTCTTGTTAGCAGTGATAATATTCTCAATATTTAGAAATTAAGTTTTCCTGCACTTAATCTTTGTTTTTCCTCCTCTTCTTTCTTACAGTAAATATAGCCCTCGCCCTAGCAGCAAATGATTCGGTAGGTGGACATTTAATTATAAACTTCAATGTGAAATGTGTGTCACAAATAAAACGGCTACTGCTGAGGGCAGTCACATACATTTAATGTAGTTAATGTTTTTATTTAGTTAATTTCTAATTTGTTTTTGAGTTTCTGTCAGTTTGTTTATATTTTATCAGTACCATGCATAACTTAGTAGATCTCATCCTGCTTCTGGGTTTGGCGCTGTCCTTTCCCTGGTGTGTCACTGAATTGAACTGCAATTCTGGAAGGATGTGTAGATGTCGTAGAGAACGCTTCTGCAGGTTGGAGACACTTAATGAATAATTTTATCACTTCAGAACACTGACCTGAAAAAAATAGAAGTTTGTGCAGAATAGTGTCCAAAACATTTCATTTTTAGAAATAGCACTACAGATTGACTGTTTCTGAAGAAATTATGTATAAAAATACTTTAAAAACAGCTAAGGCAAAAAACCCCCAAAACTATGTATCTTCCCTAAAGCTTGGAAATAAATTTTTTTGGGTCTTTTCCCAGCCCGGCATTACTAAAACTGTTGCTTGGACTATAAATAGATAGTAGGAACCATTCAAGAGTAAAAACTACAGGTGTTCATTATGTCCACATGCTGCTGTAGACTAGGAGTAATTCCTTGTGCACATTATTGCCACACAGGTAAACTCAGAAGCAAGCTTCCTGTGCAGTGCGGGGGTGTATGGTGCAGGCTTTGTACTCATAAAACATTAAATGGAAAATATCCTCAAATACATCAATCTGGCAAATGTAGCATCTTTGTGTAAAAGACAAGTAAAACAAAAAGCCAGCAGGTAGGCATGAGGACTACATGCAGTCTGCAAGCTTCCTGGAAGGATTTTGTGAAAGATATAAAAATATTTCCATAAACTCAGTCACACTTAATAAGAAGAGTGTTTAAAGCTGTTATATGAAATATGTACTATTTGTGATGGCATCTGATCTTGTTATTTCCCTGTCTTTAATTCTGTTTTAAATAGGCTGTTGGAATAATTGGATCTCAGAGAAAAATCTATCATCTTGAAAAGCAGAACTGCTTAAATGGTTCCTTCTAATCGACTTTAAAGCATGGCATTTGCTCTAATACTTTTGCAAAAAAGAAAAAGCAATCAGTCTGCAATGTGATTGGTGTTGTGGGATGGTCTTTGAATAGCTCCATGGAAACCATGTTGACCAGTTGCACATCACTTGCTGTACTAGCTTATGTGTTTTTAAGATGGTGGCTAATACTTCTCAAACATGCAGTTTTATGTATTTTAAAAATGTATTTAGACAAAGTATCTCTTAGTAAATCTGACATACACAAGTTTTATCATTATGCCCCTTATTAGGAGTTTTGATGTTACAATTATGTGGTGGTGTGTGAAGTTGGAGGCAAACATCTGGTGCTTGTTACTCAATGAAGAGCAGCTGAAATTGATGAAATAGCTGTTAATTGTGTGAACTGGAGGTCACAGGTCAGCAAGCTGTTACTGTGGTGAAATGGTCCATTGATGTAGTTACAAGTTAGAAAGTATGAAATTAAGGTGGATTAAATAAACAACTGTCTTGTTGGTTCATGCATGAATATTTTTTTCTTCTGTGGTTTATTTTCCTTAAGATAATTATGGCAAGCGTCATGTAATGTTTATGTTTTAACTTTTGGGCTTGAAAGTGATGGTTTGTTAATTTGTGTACTCGCATTGATTTCAGTTAATTAATTTTGTAAGATAAGGTTTTAAAATCATAATCTCTGATGTTTTTCCAGGGTGGAACTGTCCAGTGCTTTGAATTCTAGAAATCACTGCAATTTTCAGTTTTGTAATGGTGAACAAAGTAAATAAGGAGGTTGCTTTTCAGAATCCATTGGTGCCTCCTGCTGTATTTTATAGGTAATTTCTTTGTCCTCAGATATGCAGTAATGGATGCCTTTATTTTACATTTAGTAACTATTGGTTGTGCCTCACCTTGCCATGGTTTTTGTTTCTTCATTTCTGTTGTAAGTTAGTATCTTTTAGAAGAAGCAGTAGTGATTTTTAGTAGATCAGAGCTTCAGGAGGCCCCTGCAGCTTCATTAGCTGTCTTTATATCTCTTATAAGCAAAACACAAATTGATAGAAACTGATCTTGAACTTGATGTACTGCTTAAAGGAGGAAAGAAAGTACTTGTGGAGGAAAATAGGTCACCATGATGATAAAGGTCTGTGCTTCCTTCATTAGTCTGTGTTAAAAGTTCTATGCTTGTAACTGGTGTTCTTTTACTAAAATAAAACAGGCTACAGACTACTGAAAGCAAAAGTTTACTGGCAAGAGAGATCTGTGAAAGATGCACTCCTCTAAGAGGAGATTGGATTAGAGAATATTCTTGCTGCTTTCAGTAACAGCTGTGACATCTTATTGTTGTTTGGTGTATCATAAGTTAGAAGATTACCAGTCAAAGCAGAAAGGATTTTCTATCCTCTTGATTAAAAAAACCTATCCTTCCATCTTTTAAAAATTTACTTTCTGTAGTTAAAAGACTAAATGAAACCCCCACTGTTTCTACTGATAAATGTATTTTAAATTTTTGTAAACATGGAAGCTTTCTCAGTTATTGTAGTGATGGCCTAAAGTACTAAGGCATCAGCAGAGCTTTGGACATTGTCACGGTCGCACAGTGGTGTTGGCAGAACTGGGATTAGAATTTGAGAGTTCAAAGTCTTGTGTGCCGGTGCTCAGTCTGCTTTGCATATTTTTACCTCATGGTTACAGAGTAAATAATTCAAGACAGAAGTTCATTTAGATGCCTAGATACCATGTTCAAGACAGAGTAGTTTGGTGGTGTTCTTTTTTTTTTTTTTTTTTTTTTTTTTTTTTTTTTTTTTTTTTTTTTTTTTTTTTTTTTTTTTTTTTTTCCTGTGTGTGTGGTTGGTTTTGTTTTTTATTCGGAGCCGGGTAAGACAAGCAGGCCAGCCTCCTATGCCTTTCTAGAAATATTAGCTTTTTGGTACCCTTGGTTACCTGTTGTAGATGGGTTATTTAAGAAATATATAAGCTCTTGGGCCTGTACCAAGGCCTATAAATCTATATACTGTTTTTTTTTTGGTGTTAAGAAATAACTTAAACTTTTACCCTTGTGTTCTATTGTTAATTGCTTGCTTTGAGAGCTGATTCTTTTCATTCTTTTGATGTATCGGCAGTCAGTTGTGCTCCCCAAGGAGCACTTGGGAAGAATTTTTGGGTTTTGTGCCAGGACAATTCATATTCAGACTAGAATGGCTATTTATGAAAGCTGCCCGGCCAGAGACAATTTATTGTAGTAGAAACAAGTTGAATTAATAGATGGCAGCAATAATAGGGTAGGGATTGCTTGTTTATGAACAGAGTATTTTAGTGAGCAAACACCAGCTGTTCATGACTAAGGATGGCACAAATCCAGTTGGGAGGCTGCATGCTTGTGCTGTCACTATGAGGCAAGCTCCCCAGTCAGATTTCCTTTGGCTCGCCTTTTCGTTCGGGAAGATTTACATTTTCACTATAGGATGAAATGTTTTTTGTGTTGTGAAGGACAGAGGAAGCAAAACCACATGGACCAAGTCAGCGTGTAGGCATAAGCAAGTGGCTTCTGCCTGCGGTACTGGGGGCAGCGTGGTGAAGGGCGGCATGTTTCGGGATTCCAGCGTAGCGCCAGGGGTTACGGGGTGGTGGTGCAGACCAGGCGCGAGATGGGAAACGCAGGAAGGGTGGCCTTTGGCGGGGCGGTTTCCCCGTTTGCCCCAGCACAGCCCCCGGCTGCTGGCGGGGCGGGGGTGGCGGCCGCGGGCCGGCAGGGGGCGCCGCGGTGCCGCCCGGCTGGCGGACCCGCAGCAGGGCTGCTTCTCAGGCCTGCAGTTAAGGTACAGCATACTGATGGTGGAGGTAGGAGCTACTGTCGTAATAAAATTCATTTTAATTTCTTCTAACTGTTCATTTTGAAACTACTCAAAAGCCATCCAGCTTGCTCTTTTTACATTGCATTTTTTTTTTTTAATATTAAGTTTGTGAAATTAAACTATTTGTCCAGAGGATAATATCTGGCTGCTACATTCATAGATTAATTTACAATGCATATACATTTCTTGCTGGTAAGGTAAAAATTCCATGTGGGAAAACAAATGAATCTATAAGAATTTAAACAATAATGGGATTTTTCATTGAGTAATTGTAGCATGAAGGCAAGTTTTAACTTTTGTCCTCTTCCTATACAGCTTTTCTAATTGTTTGGGTTTGATTTCTAGGTATCTTTAAGTCTGTTGCATAGAAAATCAGAAGACTTTAATAACTGTAGCTAAAGTCTTCATGCTTGTTTCTTGGTGATGAGAAGTTTCAATAAAGCTGGAGATGCCAGTTAGAATTGATTTGCTTTATTTGAAATGATAGCTTAAGTTCTAGATCAGTTGAAAAAAATGTGATAATAGAGCTTAAAAATTGTGCTATTTTTCAAATAAAAAGTGAATAAAATTGAAAATATATTTTAACATAGACCTCCTAAAATATATTACTTAAATCAGATAACTATATGCTTAATTTGAAGAAAAAGTCCTTTTTTGGGTCTGTTTTGAAGTTAAATACCCGTATCTTTAGTCTTCAAGTCATTGAAAGCCAAATGCAGGTTCCAGAGAGACTGATCTGAAAGGTGGAAAAGTGACCTTTTTTGTAATAATTTGACATGCTGTGAAAGTGGAGAGGCAGCTTGTAGAGTTGTGGTAATGCTGGGGATTCTGTTTTGGTAATTTATTTTCCAAATTCTGTATTGAATTTTTTTATTCCCATCAGGATGGAGAATGTGCAGAAAGGCCAAACAGGGTTGAATTACTGGTACACAATTATTAAGAACATTGAGTAGGAGCTAGTGCAGCCTGTTATGGAAAAGAAGTGCTGGAGGAGTCCTCTGCCTGGCAGAAAATTACAAACACTTCATATAAAGGAAAAGGGCTTTTAAACCAGTAGTGTGAGTGTTTAAAGCAAGTTTTCATTTCTAGGATAG